TCTTTAGCAGCAAGTGCCACATCTGGTACTCCAGCTATTTTTCTGTCAGCATTTGCACCAATTTTGAACCGAATATTGCAACCCATATTAAAACTTTTCAATTTATGCGCAATTTGTCTTTGAGGGTAGCCATCTTTGAATGAAATTTAAATTTGAGACCTCACATCATGCTTAGTGCCTTTGATTTTGTTATTTTGTCCAAAAATTTGTAGTAAAAAATTAAAAAATAAATAAAAGAAAAATCTTAAGATACTGTAATAATAGTACAATCTTTTTTTTTTTCTTCAAACAGAGACAACTACACATGTTTGGTTTACGACATTAGTCAGTGCTGAGTTGACATTTAGAGCATGTAGTAGCATTTAACTTTGTTGAAAATTTTGACAATCTCAAAATGTCTACTGAGAGGTTAATAGTGAAAACAAAATATAATGTTTCTCATGCAAAATATTCATCACTTAGCAAAATGTACTGTGGACAAACAAATCCAAAATTTAAACTTTTTGGTAATAAGAATAAGAGGGGCCTGTAGAAAGACTGAACATGTTATCTTTTACATAAAAAAAAATGTCATTTTAAGGTGTTTTGTAAAGAAATGAAGGGTGGCCCAAACGTTTTACCTGTAGTATATATATATATATATATATATATATATATATATATATATATATATATACAACATCTGAGAGAATAAAGAACTAACAGTAAATCTCAGGCTAATACATCAGATCATATAAGAGTCAACACTTCACTATGTCCAGCGTGTGGACTTGTTTGCAAATCCCATGCGGGATAAGTTATTTCATACGAAACATAAACATAAAACTGAAGTGAAAGACGTCAAAACGACAGGAGAGTCCATTATATATATATATATATATATATATATATATATATATATATATATATATATATATTGTCCATTATATATATATATATTGTCCATTATATATTTTATATATATATATATATATATATATATATATATATATATATATATATATATATATATATATATATTGTCCATTATATATTATATATATATATATATATATTGTCCATTATATATTTATATATATGTATATTATATATATATATATATATATATATAGTCCATTATATATATATATATATTGTCCATTATACATTATGTATATATATATATATATATATATATATATATATTGTCCATTATATATTATATATATATATATATTGTCCATTATATATTTTATATATATGTATATATATATATATATATATATATATATATATATATATATATATATTATATATATATATATATATATTGTCCATTATACATTATATGTATATATATATATATATATATATATATATATATATTACACACACACACACACACACACACACACATATATATATATATATATATATATATATATATATATATATATAGAGAGAGAGAGAGAGACAGACAGAGACAGAGACAGAGAGAAGGAGAGTGAGAGAAATACCTGACAAATATCGATGTCCTCTTACTGACTTATCATTATATATATATATATATATATATGTGTGTGTGTGTGTGTTTGTTTCATGGCTAAACCCGATCTTCTTGCTCGAGATTGTCACACAAGGTCGGTTTTTACCGTGGGGACCCGAGTGTCTTCAGGCTCACTTCGCGAAACTCGATTTTAACCTGTGTCCGCTTCTTTTTTTTTATCAACATACGCTCTGTCACTGATACTGAGCACATCAAATTTGCCCGCGCGCACGCACACACGCACATGCACCCCCCCCACGCTCATGCACCTACCCTCCCACACACACACACGTACGTGCCCACACACACACACATATATATATATCCAGCAGAATTCGAACCTGCCTTCCCCTTCAGGAAACTGTCATTAGATCTGAAGTGCTTTGACATCTCGGCCACGAATAACCTCCTGGACAGGCAAGGCCGAATAGTGCTTTTGAACATAGACCTTTCGCAAATCTCGGAATATCTGCTCAGTTTCCTATCCTAACGTAAATAAAGAAAATTATTAGGAATTAATTTTTAGTCTATTAATCCGACATATTTTAAACGTTATTTTTAATGGATAGGCATTAATCCGACATATTTTAAACGTTATTTTTAATGGATAGGCATTAATCCGACATATTTTAAACGTTATTTTTAATGGATAGGCATATTCGAGTAAAGGCTTTGTTTTTATTTATTTATTTATTAAACAGTATTTTAATTTATTTACATCTACGTGTCTGAATATTCGAGAAATCTTATTAGAAAAATAGGCGCTCGCCTGCAGAATTCGAACATGCGTTCCTCTAGCACTATATATATATTTATTAAAGACATATATTTATGTTTAACGTTGTTATTTTATAGATACAAGTATTTAAGCAAATGCTCTGTTTATGATAAACAGTATTAAATAACATTTACCGGCCTGAATGTCCGAGAAATTTTCATAGAAAATTTTCGTTCTTTGACAGGATTCGAACCTGCATCCTATACGGAACCGTCATATACGCTGACGTGCCTTTACCGCTTGAGTTACAAAGAACCAATCGGTAGACAAGGTCGAATTTACTGCTTATAAACTCCAACTTTCCATGAATCTCGTACATTCATAACTGCTCTGGCGTATCGAATGTAAACAAATGACGTCATATATTAAGAAATGGACAAGGTCCGACAATTTATTTATTAAAGACATATATTTATGTTTAACGTTGTTATTTTAAGAACGAAAATTTTCTATGAAAATTTCTCGGACATTCAGGCCGGTAAATGTTATTTAATACTGTTTATCATAAACAGAGCATTTGCTTAAATACTTGTATCTATAAAATAACAACGTTAAACATAAATATATGTCTTTAATAAATAAATTGTCGGACCTTGTCCATTTCTTAATATATATATATATATATATATATATATATATATATATATATATATATATGCGTGTCTGTATATTTGGGGCCATCGATAGCTGTGCTAACACGAAGTCATCGTGACCGAGTGTTTGAGTGTGTTGGTGTTATTCAGATTGTTTATATCGCTAGATAACACGCTCTCTCCCAGAAACTGTAACCAAGATCTGCTCACCATAGTTCCAGTATAAACCACAGCTTGAGCGAGAGTCTACAATAGGGATTGGCTAGCCTCCCTAGTAGACGGGTATCCTTGAATACGAGTGGTCAGATATTATTATTATTGTTATTACATATTGCTGCGTAAAGGTAAGTGAACTCCTAAGATAATATTAAAAACAATTGTCTATTTTTCTAGAAAATCAACAAATCTTTATTACAACAACCAAGCCAGAAAAAATATTAATTAAAAATGGCGTAAGGAATGGAGAAGTCATTGTCAGACAAGTTTGCTGTGTGGATATCAAGAGACAAAGAGATCGAAATATTTAAAGGCAGGAAAGAGTGTTAAATATCAAATATCTTCTTTTTGGACCCCACGATTAAAATACTATGTTCCACGTTCGGAATGTGTTGTAGAGCAGTTTTCACAGTGGAGGCTTGTATTTCACTAAGTCGGTCCTAAAAAGGTTCAACGTTAAAAAACGTTAGGAACTTGAAATAATAGTTAATGACGCAGCAATCAAGTTGTGGTTGTTGATACTTTAATGTCCGACATCGACTGACTCGACCAACTCACTCAGCGATATTTAGTCACCCCCCCCACCACCACGAGGGCATCATGTGGCACAAGGCTGGTTTAACGCGTGATCTCCGAGCCCGTGGGCTCGGCTAAAAATATGCCCATTGAACCCGTATAAACGGTTTCAGGGCCGGTCCACCTCCCCGAAAGAGAATCCGCCCTTCGGCGCAGCCTCTATCGGGTTCATCCCCCCGCCCGAAGGCAGAGAGTTCAACCGATCAGCCAGTCGACTGACTGACCAGCTGAAGTGATTTTCCAAGCGTAGCTTAGATGTGGCTCAAGGCCGAAAGTATGGGGCACCCAGTAAGGATCGAACTCACGACTCAGTTGTAATTATTCTAGCGAGACAAGCTTGCTAACCATTACACCGCCCCGAGGTGCCCAACCAACTCACTCAGCTCCCTGGCGACTGCTACTACTACTACTTATAATAGGTGGGAGAATCTATTAACAATAGAATAGGTGTGTTCCCGTATAACAGAATGAGTGAGCGTTCTGTTAAATACCTTAAATATAGTTGAAAGGCGGGCCTCTTCTTTTATGTGTCATGTCTTTTCTAGACATGGCTAATCATGGCTTTTCACTATTTCCTTTCTTTTCTGTCCTTCTTTTTTTCCCATCCCTGTCATTGTCCTCATTTGTCTTGCCATCTATTTACTCAGAATTGCCGATTATTTTCTGTTTTCGCCCCCCCCCCCTGGTTTCAGTGCGTCCTGCGTGTGTTCAATTTCCTAGATTCTTTTTTCTCGTTATATGTCTCAGGACTTTTAGCCTCATTTTCCCAAAGCTTAAAAATTTGCTCACATGTTCTGTACATAGTTTTCCCTTGTCTCTCTTTTCTTCTCTTCAATCCGTGAGTATCAAATTCTCCAGGACTTCCTTCCTCATTATGTGTCCCAGGAACTTCAGCTGCCTTTTACTGATGTTAAGTATAAGCCTCCTCCTGGTTTGCATCCTATCAAAACCTTATTGTTGTTCACACTCTCGGTCCATGATATCCTTAGCATCTGTCTGTAGAACCACATCTCCGTCGCCTCGAGTCTCTTCTTCATCTTTGAGGAAATCGTCTAACATTCATTGCCGTAAAGAAGGACAGATATCACGTAACAGCTCAGTATTCTTTTCTTCGTTATCAAAGAAATCCTCCTCTCTCGCAATATTTGCCCAGCTTTTGGAATGTGTCCTTGGCCATCCCAATACGACGCCGGATCTCAGTGTCGCATTTGCCGTCCTCTGTCAGAACGCTTCCCAGATATTCAAACTGCTGAGTCTGCTTGATTCTAGTGTTTCCGAACCTGCAAATCGCATTTCGGGCTCATCCTTTTACTGAAGCGATATACAAATAGCAACTCTCACTTGCACTCGATCTCCCGCTACGAGAGAGAGAGAGAGAGAGAGAGGGGGGGTAGTGGAGAAAAAGCAAATATACATACTCCTTGGGTACAGCTGTGAACGGATAAAGGGATTCATTCTTTGCCTTCTCTTACTCTATTGACATACAGACTACCTTCCCTCACACGTCAAGAATCCCCCTAACCCGTTACGGTCATAGGGACACTATATATAGTGCAGTCATAGCAGCAGGGGCGTGTCTGGGGCAAGATAAACTGATGGAACGCGCCCTTCTTTAGGCTGGTGTTGAATTCGGAGTTTTCCCTCCCCTACATTGGTCAAGGCAAGAGTATCCAATCAGTCTTGTTAGTTAGGCTATAGTTAATATAGGTGCTTTTCCCAAAAGCAATTTGACAGCCGGACTTTGAACTCGGTAAGCTGACTTCACTTTTTTAACCGCTAATCGTTACACTATCAGTGCATTTAAATGCGAAAATCTCACTGGTGATAAAATCCAATAAGGTTTACGGATGTGTAAGAACTGTTGATTAAATTGAACCCATTCAAGGGATCACTTTCTCAGTGATTCCTTTAATGAGTCTATAATTATACAGAAATATAAAAACCTGTTCCTACAAGCATAGTCCACATCCTCTGAATGTCTTTATGTAAAATTAGATGCGTCTGTAGTAATTTTTTACACTAATGTGAAGTGGAAAATGTCACATCTCTTTTTCTGACCTTAGTTCTCTGGTTGGAATCGAGGAGGAAATGAGCAGAAACCAGAAATCAAAGGAAATAATAATAATAATAATTTCATGGAACTTTACAATACAGACACACAGAACAAAGCTAATCGCCCAAACATCGTGATCAAATACCACACACAAGAACAGAATGTGGTTTCTTATTGACATGGCTATCCCAGCAGATTGTAATGTTGTTATAGTGGAACGCACCGGTTCTATTGTTAATAGACTCTCCCACCTATAATAAGTAGGAGTAGTAGCAGTCGCCAGGGCTCAGAGGGTGTTGGTCAGTCAGTCGATGTCGGACGACCGTTTGTCGGATATTAAAGTATCAGCCACCACAACTAGATTGCTGCGTCATTAACTATTATATCAAGTTTCTAACGTTTTGTACGTCGAACCTCTTTAGGGCCGACTTAGTGAAATACAAGCCTCCATTGTGAAATTACTCTATAACAAATGTATCTTTGAATATCTTCAAAAAAGCTATCAAAATACAAGGATCTTGAAATATAACCTCAAAAATGTAGCACATTAGAACATCAGTAATTCTAATTGTAGTAAGAGCCTTCGGATTAATTGGAAAAGTGTCCGATAGATTCATTAAAGGTTTTCCTGGTAGTACATGCGTTAAAGAAATACAAGAAAATATACTCAAGATTACAACTCACACATTATGAAGAACTTTATCTATCTAAAATGTGTTATCTTCATTTTTTATTTTTTGGTTTTTACAAAAAATATTCAGTGGAAAATGTCATGAAGTCATTTCTGAACTTAGCTCTATGGTTGGGACACGGAAGGAAATGTGCATACAACAGAAATCAAAAGATATAATAATAATAATAATAATAATAATAATAATAATAATAATAATAATAAAATCTCAAAAATGTGGCATATGGGAACATCAGCAATCCCTGTTGTAGTTGGAGCCCTAGGATTGGGTGGAAAAGATTCCAGTAGACTAATTGAAGGGATTCCTGGAAGTCCATGCCTCAAAGAGATACAAAACATTATTCTGACAAGTACAGCCCACGCTTTACGAAGGGCTTTATCTATATAATTTTTTTCTTTTTGTCAGTGGTAAGTGTCATGATGCCATTTCTAAACTTAGGTCCCTGTTAGGGACCCGGAAAGAAATGTGTAAACGCCAGAAAGCAAAGAAAATAATAATAATAATAATAATAATAATTATTATTATTATTATTATTATCACAAAGTGTATGTTTTTAAATACACTGGGTACATTAAGTTGTCTGTCAAGTAACAACAAGGACCTCAGGCAGACAACGCTTTCCTCAAAATATGCGCCGGGCCCAAAAGGGTAGATTTTTGATAACTCCAAATTGGTATAGTATCTTCAGTTGGTCAAGAAAATCACATAATTTTAATGGTATCGATGCCAGTGCACCAAGCATCACTGGAATCACTTTGATATAGGGATTCCAATCTTCTTCAATAGTTCAGCAAGGCACATTCACGTACCAATTTTTGCTGCTTGGTATCCATACTTTCAATACAATAAGCAATGTACATAAAAGCATACCTTATCATGGTGCCTCTTATATTCTATTTGAGCTAACATTTTGCATCCACTGCTCAGATGAATCACATTCTCAGAGCGTTTACCACAAAGCCTACATTTTACAGTGATTGATGTTTTGTATATGTGGCAATTATTATTATTATTATTATTATTATTATTATTATTATTATTATTATAGCACGACTGCATTGTCAAAATTCAGTTCAGTCTTTTTTTTATGTCAGCCGGGATCCCCTATTCAGGCTCATATACAGCAGTTTTAATCGTGCCATATGTAGGTGTGTGTATATAAGCAAAAGATAAAAAAAAAGAAGTCGATTATTTATGCGATATTCGTTGTTTTGACTTGTAACCATAGCAAGCGTGAGTCTTGTCGACTCTTTTTCTTTCACCCGATTTGTTTCTGGCAGATTGTTTGGAATATTGTCTTCTGTTGTCAGGGGATACGGGACCCAGTTCAACTCCGTAAATGCGACACTGTAAATGTAAACATAGAGTAGAAAATGTAGTGGTGTTTGGGGTGTATTTGTCATCAAACGGTGAGTGGATGTGTAAACAGTCTGAAAGAGTTTTGTTGACACTTGAATTGAAAGGGAACAAAGCAATATTTCTGGGCCAAATTTCAAGTCGAAATGAAAAAAAAAAATTCCGAGTTGCCCTCTCACATACAGCATCTCTTGCTGCTTCATAGTAAACCATCTGGAATCTATCGAAAGCTAATAAAATAAAATGGAAAGGCGACCAACCGCCGATTGGTGTGACTATTTCCCTTCTAATAAATTGCCATTGCCTTCCCCTCTGCATAAGGAATTGGACAACTCACAAGAACGACCGATTTGTGTACTGCTACACAGTTCGATCATAAGTCGTTCAGTTTTTCATTCTCTTTTAATTCCAGTCTGGAAGACAAAATCCAATGTCCGACATATTTTTTTTTATCCTTTTTTACGACAATATTTAGAGGTTCTTTATAAAACCAGCAATATCATTGGTCCTCACCTGGTGTCGGGGCTTCAGTAACCGCTGGAATGTTGCTTCCCTATGTCTTTTTCTATAAATACTTTAATGGTAACTATTCCGATGAGTTCTTCGCTATGGCTCTTAGACTTTATGAATATAAGCGGACTAGTAGAATAGCAACAAAGTCTCATCAACTTACATTTGAATTAGTTAGATTTAACCGTAAGTTCTATGCTGACAGTTTCTTTTTCTCGCACTTTTCGCTTGTGTAACACTCTTCCAGAAACTAAGCAATGTATTAAAAAAATAAGAAACTTTTGTTAGAAACCAAGAATAGAGCTCTTATGTAAATATCAATCTTATATACAACAGTAAATACTGGAAAATCTCTTTATATATATATATATAAAAAACAGAGCTATAGTTCTACAATTATACACTGTGAATACTATGGACACATTATATAAGGTGAACCAAAAATAAATGAACGATAGTTTGAATAGAGTTTTTGTAAGGGTTCTATTATGTGAACCAAAAGTAGGTATACAGTAGGTTGAATAGATTTTGTGTTAGAGTTATATTATAACTATGTTGTTTGTGTTATATTAAATTTTATAACTAAATATATTTAAATTTATTTTTTTTTCTTTTCAGATAATTCAGAGAACCCATAATGGAAACTGATATTGAAACAAGAAAATGGCTGTTAAAAAAGAATTAGAAGTCTCAAAATGCTGAAATCGTTAGAACAAAATGGCTTGAAACATTTAGTACTCAAGCTCCAAAGAGACAAACTCTTTACCGCATTCATGACAAATATTATGCCACTGGCTCAATTCTTAATTCCCCCAATATTGATCGATCCAAAACTGTTTGCACAGGGAACCATAAGCAACTTGCTGCCAAAAAAATTTTGTCACATTCCCAAAAAGGTTACCAGAAGAGCCTAAGCGGAATTGGACATTTCACAAACCTCTGTTATACGAATTCTGAAATCTATTGATTGTGTTAGTATGTAATCTCAAAATAAATGTTATCATTTACTGTCCACCTTGGTGTCAAGGAAAAATGGGGCATTTGACGTCCCTCGAGTTACGGTGTCAATATTGTACTGGTAATACTTTCATGACTGTGACCAAAGGCATTTTTGCTAGAACTGTCTCTAGTACTAGACGATTGACATGTCCATCATGTCAGTCAAATATGCTTTAGATTACAAGAGATAAGGGAGTAGAGACCAATCAGTGCGTTCCTGTAATCATGATACACAGCTCTACCGAGGGTTGTGACGTCGCTAATTACACCCTGAAGGACTGGTAAACATTTGGTGTGGTCCGTTTTGTCCCGGTTATCATTAGATCAGACTGGTGGTAGAGCTCGTGTCTGGTGCAGAGCCAATGGGGTCATAGAATCCAGTAATCAGCCGGAAACAGTACAGGCATTTGTTAGTTTCATAATAGCATGAAATGTGTTCCCGTGATAGGTTTGGGTCTATGGATTCACTAAGCACATGTATATTGATGTATAGTTTCATGAACATTTTATTCTCAATCATACACCCCATTTACGCTAAACAATAATAGTGAATTTCAGTAGCACAATGTCCCGTGACATCGGTTGCCCAGAATTGGTTTGAGGAGCATTCTGATGATTTTTGACTAATGTTGTACCAACTACGTTCACCTGAAATGATTTCAATTGAACATTCATGGGTAGTGGTGAAGAGCTGTGTTCGTACAGAAGATCCTGCATCTACAAGAAATATCAGAGATATTTGAACAGCTATCGATATGTCATGATTCAACATCTCTCCAAATTCTTTCAACTGCTTGTTCATAGAG